AAGGGAGGGGTAGCAGCAGCTCAAGCAGCTAGCTTCTCTTCCCACCTTACATTGTAATGCAGATTACCTGCCCCAGGGCAGTTGCATCATCCACACCCACAGTAATCAATCACAAACTCCAGAAGCTGCCCCAAGACTGCATGAGACTTTGGGGGGACACCTAGACACAAACCATAACAGAGGCACAATCTGGCCAGGTGGCCGGACCAGGGAGGTACTCCTGGGTTCATCCCTGGGGAGCTCCTAGCTGGATGGGCTACAAGGATGTGGGCCCCAGGTGTTGTTTTTATTCCCCTTCTCTCCCTCTCTCCCTCTCTCCCTTTTAACCCCCTACCCTTACCCCCTCCTCTCTCCCCACCCCGCTCCCCCTGTGCTCCCACCCCTCCCCTTTATCCATCCTCTCTCTAGCTCTTTCCATCTGCCTGCACCTCCTGCCTGCCCTGAAGTAAGCAGTTTTCCTTCACTACACCCTTCTGCCCTGATGCTTCTCCCTCACCACAGCCTTAAAAGAAATGAAGCCCCTGACCATGGACTGGAATCTCTGAACATTTTTCTCCTTTCTGCCTTTCAGTTCTTGGCTAAATATTTCATCACCACAATGCACAGCTGTTCTATAAACACTGTATCTTGTTTGTCAGTTGTCTTGAGGATGCAGAACTGCCTTTCTGCGCATCTGTGATTCCAGAGAAGATCCATCAGGCCCAGTGCAGGTGTGGATGTTGTAACTGAGGGATCATTCCATGGCAAGTGACATTCTGAAACCATCTCACACGGGCATCATGAAAAGGAGCCCTCCACTGTCCTGAGTATAGAACTTCCATTCTCATGGCTAAAAGGTGGCTGCCACTCCTCCAGGCATTGTATCTATCTTCCAGGAAAGAGTAAGGGAAATGTTGGAGGGCAAAGAATGAAGAACATGCTCTTTGAAAGGCTTTGCTAGGGACCCCCACCCACATCTCATAAAAAACTATGACAAATGGCTACCTCGAGCTGCAGCAGTGGCCAGGGATTGGAGTATTTGGCTCCTCAGACTCTAACAGTGTAGGACTCAAGGGAGAAGGGGTTAAGATGGGCATTTATTGAACAAACCTGAAGTCTGTGTTATAGTTTCTTGGTATAAGTTTCTCTCTCTTGGCATACTATAAGCCTGTGGAATATAGAGGACATACTTTGGCAATCTAAAAAAGCCCTAGCAAGAGACTATATAGCACCAACCATAAAGTCGAAGATACTATGGGTATTCGTCAGTGGTATTGTACTTTTAACTGTAATATAGAAATAACCAAGAAGGCATTAGTGACGCTGAAAATGACAGAGTCCAGTGGTTTCCCTTGAGTCACTCATTCCTCATATCAGCTTTGGAAAGTTACCTGGAGCTTGGCTGCTTCACCAGGCTGGCCCACTAATGAGGACACTGTGGCAGTGAGACCGCTCAGAATGTTTTGGAATGTGACTCAAAAGACAGGATGGGAGAGAAAGTAAAAGGGGGTTCATCAGCAAGAACTTTTTAAGAGAAGTGAAAAGGTAAAAATAAACATAATGTGAAGTGTGAATACAGTAAATGTTTAATTTTTTAAAAATTATTATAGTAAAATTTAAAGACATAATTACTGTTAAAGACATAATGCTGTGAATTCCCTTCAGAATCTTCCCTTTGCTCCGAGCACTTCTATCCCGTGCTTCTTACTGTTTTCTGCGCACCTAAGCAGTCCTCATTCCTGAGCGTCACTAGTTGCACTGCCCTGGCTGTTTCCATGTCCTGAATTGACTCCAAGTGTTCACCTTTCATGGTCATTTTGACCCTGGGGAAGAGCCAAAAGCCAGTGTCAGGTCCAAATTGGATGCAAACACAAAGTAATGTTTTTATTTGACAGGAATTGCTGTGGATATAAACTGTAAACTGCTTCAGAAAGTAGCAAGAGGGCTGGGGCCATAGCTCAGCGGCACAGTATCTACCTGGCAAGTGTGAGGTCCTGAGTTCGATTCTTTATACCCACGCACAAAGAAAAGTAGTAAAAATGATGCAGTGTGTTCAAAGTGAGGAGGATTAATAGGAATATGTTTTTTACTCTAATAAACATTTTTGTTTTGTTTTGTTTTTTTCTTTTGGTGTCTCGGGCTGCCTGAAGGGCAGGTCTGGTAAGGCAGGGGGAGCTGGGGATCTAGCAGTATCCAGCGCCTGACTGCATTTTCATGAGCAGCCGCTTAAACAACTGAGCTTAATGAACAGACCCCCTCTAATAAATTTTTAAAATGTTTTCACCGTGTTTTCTAATCACATCACACTTGATGGAATGAAAGCTAATAATAAAACACAGTATTTTAAACATTCAGAATTCTTTTTCTATCTTTTTATTGTTTTTCTGAGACAAGGTCTTGCCATGTACTTTACCTCACTATCCCAGGCTGGCCTTCAATTTGTTTTTTTTTTTTTTTTTGGAGACCAAATCACTTTATTGGGGGGCTTGGGAGTGGGGAAAAGCTGCCAAAAAGACGCTTCACATGAGATCTAATGTTCCTGGCATGGCTGGATCTCTCTGGGTCTGCTGTGGCCAAGAACTGGCCTTCAATTTGTGGTGATCCTCCTGCCTCAGCCTCCAGAGTGCTGGAGTTAGGGGGATGTGCCCCTACACATGGATCAGAGTTCTAAGACATGAAAACAGCACAATTTTCTTACAAATATTTTCAGGTTATTGCCCTATCTTTATTGTTTCTCCTTCAAAACAGATCTTGCTAAGCTTCCTGTATTGTGTTCTTCATAATCACAAGTCATGAAGGACGAAGATAAACCTGTAGCATGTGAAGATTGGGAGCCATCCAAAGAGATAAACTGCACAGCCGCAGCCCCTGCTGGGCCTCAGGAAACACAGGTAAAACCTGGGGTCAAACATGGAAAATCACAGCCACGCCTTTTAGGAAAGGACTGTCATTTCCCATCCTTAGCAGCCATGCTTTCTTATGTTCCACTAACAGTTCTCCCTGTTTTCAGCCCTTCTCTCATGGCATCCAGCTTTCCCACCCAAGGCTGCCCCAGCCTTCCTCTCAGAGGTTAACAGAATGGAGAGCTTGTGAACTGCGTGGTGTTCCCAGCCTAATCCCTAGTATCATCTGGGTTTCTTCTCTCTTTCTGTTGCTTCAGTTCAAGCAGAGAGATGCATGTGAATTGGTTTTCAACACAGAGTTATGTTTTCTTGAGCGACCTTAGTTATGTACCAGCCATTATCCTGAATTTTATTATTAACTATGCCAATTCTTAAACCCAGTATGGTGTTAGGAAACATGATGTCTATTGTATGGGACTCAAGCATTTATTTTTCTAAAGGTTCTGACTTGGTGCTAATCCAAGCACTTGCTGATTTGTTCGTGATAAAAGTTGCATGCTTTTCTTGTAAAGTGTGACCTTTGATTCTAGCAAAGGGAACTTGCTTGGAAATACTGATATAGGGGATGAAACTCCCAACCTGAACAATACCTGGGACGATGAATTCATATTCTTTATAACTGAAGAATGAATTTTATGAACAATGGAGGTTATCGGTGGTATTCCTTTATTGGGGGAAAGAAAGCTTCTGTCCAAGAGATGGACAGAAGGGGACTTGAGTGGGTTGCCTAGGAATCTGCCTTTTCTGGGGATTTTTGTAGAGCAAAACCATGAGTTGAGGTAGGTTTTAGGTGGCAAACATGAGAACTTGGCACATGAGGTAGAACAAAACTATGATCAACCAATAAGATTAGAAGCACAATTGCTCAAGTAGAATTGATTAAATCCAGGACCAAATAGGGAAGTGAGTCATGAAGCAAGGGGGCATGCATATAGAAGAGGGGCTTATCCTGTATGGAGTTGGGTTAGTGACTCTTCCACATCATCAAGATAATAGAGACCTATTTAGAATGTCAATCCGAAGGGCCAGCCAAATAGCAAGCAAGCACAGGGGCCTGGGGTTTCATACCTGGGCCTGCCAGGCCAGCCCCACCCCAGGGCACACTGAGAGGGCAATTGAGACTAAGCATGGTGGCGCATGCCTGTTTACAGCTCTTGGGAGGCTGTAAACAGGTGGATCACTACGAGTCTGATCTAGTAGTGAGACCCTGAACACCCTGTAGACCCTTCCCTAAAATACAAAAAAAAAAAAAAAAAAGAATGTCAATTCCAGACACATCTCTTTAGAGAGGTATGCTTCTGTTTGATCTTTTGTCTTGAGGTCTGACCCACAGCAGGAGAGGCTGTCTCTCCCACAATTGCAAGGCATCTTGTCCTTTACCCTGGCTCCTTCTGAGAGCCTTGCCCTGTCTGACTACCTATAATAATTTTATCTCACTCAACTGCCTGCAACAATATGATGAACCAGCAACTGTAAAGCTGCATAGAAAACAAATAATTTTAAGTTTTTTTTAAATTCTGTTAGTTACAGGAGACGGTTATGAACCTCAGAGATGTAGATCGTAGTGAACCCACTGAAGGGAGTAACTTATTGAACGGCCATGAAGAAAAGCCACAGGAAGCTCCAGCTGAGTCAAACTGTCTGCAAAGACTGAGACAAGCACTGGCCTGCCCTCCTCATGGCTTACTGAACAAAGGTGTCACACATGGTAGGTGAACGCTAAGGATGGGTGCAGGAAAGGAACTCCTAGAAGTGCAGTAAAAGATTCCAAAATCATATTGTTCAGAGGACAAAAAGAATTTAACTCCTCCCTCACATCAAAACAATTGGGTGAATAGTCACAGTGTGGGTTGTCGGCCTCATGCTGCTACTCCAAGGCCAGGCTAACAGGGTCCCAGCATCCTCTCTGAGGCTTGCACGATGACCCTGAGAAGGGACAGAATAGAAACTAAGGGACTGTGTCTTTTCTATACGTGAGTTTGTAAATGGAAAAGCATTACATAAATGTTAGCTGCTATTACTATTTACCTAATCCAACTAGTATTTTAGAGAAGGGAACTTAGTTTCTATTTCCAAACGACCCTGTCATTGTATAAGATCTTGGTTTGCAGCTCAACTTACTGCTTTCAGTTTAAAAAAAAAAACACTTTCCAGATTTGGGGGTAAGGGAAAATTTATCTCAGTTCTGTTTTGAATATTTCACTATTGGGCTATATCATTCTTTAGGGAATGGATTTAGCTTTTGGAGGTACCTGAAGGTTATTGCATTATAAATTAGATGAATAAATGGATGTTCATGTGAAGTGATGCTTTTGTATTCAGAAAGGGTCTACGTGTGTGTATGGTGAGTGTTGTGTTTGTGTTACGTATCAGATGTGTTCAAAAATCTGGTAAGTGTTCATATTTTTAGAAATTATTACAGTAAAAGGCACATTGCAATTGGTCCCTCAGAATTCTTTCCCATGCTTCCAGTATCACCCATCCAACTTGCTACTTTCTGAGACAGTTCTTGAAATCCTCCTTCTTGAGTATCTTTAGTTACACCATCATAGCTGCCTCAGTGTCCTACATTGATTCAAATCAATGGTCATTTTGATGTTTGAGAAGAACCAGAAGTGACATAGTTCCAGATCTGGCAAATAAGGTGGAGGAGGACACACCATAATGTTTTTATAAGCCTACCTTTCTACTGGATGGCACTTGGCGGCAGCAGTCACCATATTTTTACCACACCTCATAAACACACTCACAAAAGAGGACTTTCCAAGCTGCTTCAGAAAATGGCAATAACAATAGGATAAGTGTATTACAAGCCAAAAGGACTATGTTGAGGGGGATTAATGCCAATATGTCTTTTATTGTAATACATTTTTATTTATTTATTTATTTTGGTAGAACCAGGGATTGAACTCAGGCCCTTGCGCTTGCCAGGCAAGTGCTTATTCTACTGAGCTATCTCCCCAGACCTTACTGTAATATACTTTTAATTTAACCACTCACTGAATATTTTGATCACCCCACTATGTTAAGGAATGTGGAACATGGTAGATAAAAAGATGAGGGATTTGCAAAAGACAAATTCAAAGACAATTCAAAAATTGTAGTGAGAAATTATATCCTTGGAGTAAAAATAGGGTCTCTCCTATATGCAATGACCACTGAAAAATGAGGCACAATTCTTCATAGTTAAACTTAAGCTAGAAACTGGAAAATATTTTTATAATTTTCAACTGAGGCAATAAAAGCCAAGAGTAATATGTTATACTTCACACCCTTGACATGTTTTTAATGAAATTGAGTAAGGTTCTGATGGAAGAAAATCTCAAACTTTATTTAGAACACACAGTGACAACCTGGTTCCAGAATATACACTAGCTGATTAGGACCACAGATAATTTAATACCTTGTCTGGCCTTTTATTATTTTTTAACTTTTACCTTTTAAAATATGGCACATTTCTAGTTAAAATATTTATAATAAAACAGACATAAAGGGTAAAAATGACTGATGATTTGAAAACTGAAATATAACAACATACTTGAGGTTGAATCAACAGTCCTATCACTTAAGCCAGTAATAATATGTTAAGCCCATTGAAATGTACTATTGATCTATCAAAACAGTGATCAAAAATCACATCCATACAAAGTAAAGGAGATAAGTAAGCCAACAAGCTGGCTTTCTCCCTGGCGGTTTGTACCGAGCCCAGGGGAAACTAAGTCACCTGCTTGGGGTGAGTACATAAAAAGAAACATGACGCAATGCTTCAAGCCACCAGAGGTGGCCCAGGTGAGCTGAAAGTGAACCTTCTCTGCAGTGAGGCCTGTAATTAAACCTGCCTGTCTATTGTGGGGAGTCTCCACTAAAAATGAGCAGTTTACCCTGATTGGTACTTTCAATTCACAGAAAAAAAACCTCAATCCCAATATATATCTGCAGGGGTCCGAGACTGTAAACTTGGTAGATACAAACACAGACACTACCTGGAAAACTCACATTCAACCTACCTTTGAACCTTATCACCTTCAAATCTACAGATAAAGGTAAAGGGAGGGCTCACTGTAAAAAAAGAAAAGAAAAAAAGAACTTTAGGGGCCAGGGAGATGGCTCAGTAGAATAAGCGTTTCCCTGGCAAGTGAAAGGGCCTGAGTTCAATCCCTGGTTCCACCAAAAAAAAAAAAAAGAACTTTAAAACAAACACAAGGGCTGGCCAGAGAGCTCAGCGAATTAAAGTACCTGGAATGGGGGCCAGGGAGATTGGTCAGTGGAATAAGCACTTCCCTGGCAAGTGCAAGGGCCTGAGTTCAATCCCTGGTTCCGCAAGAAAAAAAATAATAATAAAAAAAAAAAAATAAATAAAGTACCTGGAATGGACTCGGTTTGATCATGCTGGCCCCGCCCCCAGGGTGTGCTGAAACTGTGATTGAGAGTGGGTATGGTGGTACACACCTGTAATCCCAGTGCTTGGGAGGCTGAAAACAGGAGGATCACTATGAGTCCGATCTGTGTAGTGAGACCCTGTAGACCCTGTACTAAATTACATAAATAAATAAAAGTAAACAGAACAGAAGCAAGCATGGAGGTTTTATGATTTTTCATTACCATAAAATAGAATATAAAACATTTTTGTATATGCAAAAGGTTGAAGAAAAAACAAATATGAATTCAACCAACTTAACTTTCGAAAATGAAAGAGATCGGACAATAATGTAAATTTAAAACTGAATTGACAGAGTAGGTAGCAGAGTTAGTGAAAATAAAATTGATGAATTGGCCAGTAGAGCTGAAAAGATTTCTGAAAATGCAGTACCCAAAGATGTGCAGTATGAACACTAGACTCAGCAACTTTGGAGCAGAGTGGATGCCCAACCTTCTGAAAATAAGAAAGACATCTTTGAAGAAATACAGACATAAATGTCCAGAATTGGTTTTAAAAAACATAAATCTTAAGCAAACCAAAGGATGATTCACATAAATGTATTATAAAGTTGCAGACCCAAAACAGAAGATCCTAAAGTCATCCAGAGAAATAAAATTTTGTAAAAGAGTCAAATCATACTTTACAGTAAAAGCCAGAATACCAATGAAAAATAGTTTCAATAAAGTGAGAGAAAACCCTTAACCTGTAGTTTGAGGTATATCTGACATATGCCTAGAAAAACTTCTTTCAAGATAAAGATTAGGGGCCAGTGAGATAACTCAGTGGTCTAAAGTGCCTGCTTAGGCTAGCTTTGGCAAGCACATGGACCATGGTTTGATTCTCAGCACTACATGTCTGCCAGCCACAAAATGAGAGAGAGATGAGAGAGAGGGAGGGAGGGAGGGAGAAAGAGAGAGAGAGAGAGAGAGAGAGAGAGAGAGAGAGAGAGAGAGAGAGAGAGACTAATTTCAGACAACAAATCAACAATTTAGAAGCAAAGATTCCCTTCCATGAAAATTGGCTTCTGGGAGATAAAGGGAAAGATAAAGAGGAAATCCCTGAGAAAGCTAAATTAGAAAATTCAGCACAGGCAGCTGAGGGCTTGAATGTGCCTGATGACCCCAAAACTGCAGTAGATGACCCCAGAGAGCCATGTGTTGATGAAAATAATGATGAAGCCACATAAGGAAGTGAAGACTCGTCTCAGCCATCATCTTCCAGTGGCATTGTTAAAATCAGCCAAGAAGATGTTAGAGTTTGAGAAGCAAGAAATGCAAGACAAAAAATATTGTGGAATCTAGTTTTTCTGTTAGTGCTATGGAATCTTGTGTGATTTGCCAAGGTCAACCTCAAAATGGTTGCATCATTCATGGCAAAACAGGACACCTTATGTCATGTTTCATGCTGCAGAGAATCTAAAGAAAGGAAATCCTGCCCAGTATGCCAACAACCAATTCAAATGATTGTGCTAACTTATTTCAAGTAGCTGACATATCCATACAAGCATATATTTTAAGTTTCTAACTAAGCCTAAAAATATATAGACAACACAGATTTTATAAATATGTTATCAAAGTGACAAATATAATTAGGACATTTAAACAGGGGCTTTTCCTGTTGTGGATTAAGTTAGTGACTCTTTCTGGCTCTTTCAAGGTGGTTGCTACCTGTTTAGAATGTCAATCCCTGATGCCCATCCTTAGTGTTTACTCTTGTCTTGAGGTCTGGCCCACAGCAGGAGTATCTGTCTTTCAAAGTTGCAAGGTTATCTTGTCTTCCATATTGTCTCCTTGAGGGCCTGGTCCTGTCTGGCTGCCCATAATATTTCTATCTAATTTAGCTGCTTACAACAGAAGGAAGAAATGGAAATAAAAATAATCAAAATATATCATAGACATGTACCAATATATCAAAATGAATCATGTTATGCTGTATCACTAATATGCACCATTTAAAAAAAAAAAAAAAAAAAAGGAGATGGGAACCTCAACCTGGCCTGGGCAGGTTCCTGATGCCTCATTGTTGAAAAGCACTGCAGGACCTGTCAGAGAGAGGCACTGGTTAATTTATTGGCAGAGTTAGAAGTAAGAGACCTTGGGGCAGAACTCAACCTGGAGTCTGGAGGAGACACAGCTCTGCCTCAGAGCAGCTTGGCAGGTGGACAGAGGAGTGAAGCAAGGTGGTTCTGGTCCAGTTGAACATGAGTTCTGGGTTTGTATAATGACTCTGAGAATCTCTATTGCTTGGGAAGGGGGTCCAGGCTCTGAAATGATTGTTTCTGCCAGGGCATCCTATCTTGTGGAAACTGCCAGAATCCAAGATGACCGTAGCTTAAGACAGGGATGAGAGACTTGTAGATGCCTCTTGATAAGTGTTCCTGTAAATCTCTTATCTGGAAGCCTTGTCTTAAAGGAGATGAGGTAGATTATGTAAATTTTGGGCTAATCAGCCTTAGATTACCAGCATTTAGAAAAACACTCCCTCAGTGACTAAGACACTTGCATGAAGATCTGAGCAGAAAGCTGACCCAGAGAGGGAGGTGATGAGGGAGACAGATACAAAATGAAGGCCAAGCTTCCTGCTGCTTTCAGGTACCACTGAGCACCTGGAGGCCCACATGAAGTGTCACTGGTCATTGTTGTTTGTTTTCACAAAAGCAACTTTTTGGTTCCTGTCCACCTCAGAAAAAGAACATACTTCAGGCTTTTAATGAGTAACAGGTTAAGGCCCCAGGAATTCACCTGCCCTTTGCCCAACATGATTTTCTGTCTTAGAACTACAAGAACAAAGCATGATTGGAGTTCAAGCATTGTCGTATTTCTGTGAAGAGGGTAAAGATAATGATTGTTTCCTTTTCTTAGGTAGATTGCAAATATGTTTGTCATAAAATTGTAAAGAAAAATAGAATGGTTGAAATAAAGTAGTGGTTCCTTCTGCCAGTAGGAAGGGAGGTGGGGGTGGGGCGGGGCACACAGGCAGATTTGAAAGACTGGTGATGTTTCTTAAAATGTTTGGTAATTACCCATTTGTTCATATTCTTGATGTTTCTGCTTTATACATGTTTACAAATGTTTGCCTATGCATTTTTTTTTTTTCAGTACCAGGGATCAAACTTGGGACCTTGTGCTTGCCGGGCAGGCACTTATGCTGCTGAGCTACATCCTGGCCTCATTGATTTTATTATTAAATTTTTCTTTTCATTGGTACATGTTTGCAGTACATCATGATTCTGTTGCTCATAGGTGCTGGGTTCAGTGTTTAAGAATTATTTTAGATTACATCAAACTTATATTTGGTTTATTCTAGTCATCATGGCAGTCCTTCTGTGGGCTGTCGTTTGGTCCATCACCGGCAGTGAGTGTCTCCCGGGCGGAAACCTCTTTGGAATCATCATCCTGTTCTACTGTGCTATCATTGGAGGAAAACTTTTGGGGCTTGTTAAGTTACCGACACTCCCTCCACTGCCGCCTCTTCTTGGTAAGTGTGCAGAAGCATGTTTTTTTCCTTCAAAATAAATATTATTTTTTAAATAGTAGTTCAGAAAGCTTTGAGAAAGAAAGAAATGAAATATTTCCATATTTGCTGTGCTAGAGACAAAAGTCAAATGTTAGATTTGAGAAATTTTGTGAGCTAGTTGTTCAAAGTGATGATTTACAAAAATATAAAGAACTTATGTAAACTTAGAAATAACTAAGTTACATTAAAGAACAAGCGTGATCACTACCAGAAACCGATCACTTCCTCGTTATTCTACCTTAGGTAAGCCTTTGAGATTGTAGGAGGACCGTGTCATGGCGGCCACTGGCCATCTTGTCCCAGTTCCGCTCTCAGAGTCATCATATTAGTAGCTTAAAATCAACCCTGATGGAAGTATCTGCAACACAGAAATAGGGGACTGCTGCAAATGAAGACTTATATTGTAAGTCACACTGTTGACCAAGAGTGACATTGTGACATATATTCTTATTGTTATGTTTTTACCTTACTCATTAACATAAAGAAAAATATGGGTCTACATTCACAGTGGCTGGTTCATCAAAAATATGAGTGACTTCTTTACTGAGTCAGGGAGTAGACACACATTTATTTTCAGTCCAACTTTATTAAATCTCATGGGAACCACAGAAAACTTTTTGGTTGTGGACACAGGAATTTGGCAAGCAGTAACAGAACCTTTCTGAGGATTCACAGGGGACTGAGATAGGAGTTTGTAGCTGAGGATATGACCAAGTGCTTATAACTTCTTTGGAAAATATGAATGTTTAAATTAAAACATTTATTACAGTAAAAGGCACATTGCCATGAATCCCCTCAAAATACTTAACCTCACTTCAAACACACTTAGCCCATCATCCTTGCCACTTTCTGCAGCTGGTCTGGAGTCCTCTTTCCTATTTTTTGTTGCATGTTGTGGCTACCTTGAGCTCCTGAATTGATTCAAAACATTTTTCTTTCATAGTCATTTTGACTTTGAGGCAGTCACACCATGCAGGATCTGGGGAGTGGAGTGAATGAGTTCATGCTGGGATGTTTTTGTGAGTCCGCCTTTCTGTTGGATGCCACTCAACAGCAGCATTCACCATATTTTGCTCAAACCCATAAACACATTCAGGAAAGAGGACTCTGGAACTGCTTCAAAGTGCAGGAATGATGGAATGAGTGTGTATAAGGCAAAGGGATTTGTGACAATGTCTTTCACTGTAATAGAAATTTAATTTAAATACCCATCATGTGTTTTGGGCTTTTTTTAAACATTTATTTATTTATTTATTTATTTATTTATTTATTTATTTGTGTGTGGCCAGCTCAGCCCACCAGGGGGTGGGGCTGGCTGACATGTGGTGCTGGGGGATCGAACCGCGGTCCCTGTGCTTTGCCAAGCTTGTTCCAAGTAGGTGCTTTAGACCACTGAGCCCTCTCCCCAGCCCTCCATCATGTGTTAATCATGCCTCACATTACTTTTTCCATTTTTTCTTTTAAGAATAGGAAATGTACCCAGTTTGTACTGTTCCCCAGTAGACACTACAGAAAGTTGCAGAGTTGAGAACTTACAGGCTTTTGTCTAGATGATGGGCAGTGGTAAGAGCTGCCTGGAAGTGAAGCCTCCATGCTTACTGTGTCAGCAGCAAGATGCAAAAAGCTGTGCTTGGGCTGGAGAGATAGCTCAGTGGACTAAGCGCCTGTTTTGGCAAGTGCATGGACCAGGGTTCGATTCTGGGTCCCGCATGCCACACTGGCCCCGCCTCCAGGGTGCACTGAGCTGGCAACAGAGCCTGGACATGGTGGCACACACCTGTAATCCCAGTACTGGGGAGGCTGAAAACAGGAGGATCACTACGAGTCCAAGCTGCATAATGAGACCCTGTATCAAATACTTAAAATGAATTTTTTTTTAAAAAAACTGTACTTTTCCTTTGTGCCTATCTTCGTAAAGGTCCCAACTTTAGGAAGTGACTTCAGGCATTGACAAGGCACAAGTCTAGAGGGACCTGCTGAGGAGAATGGAGGGCAAGGCCTCACAGTCCCAGATGAGACACTGCCCCTCTTGGGATGGACAGGTGGCACCGGGAGAGCAGATCCCTACCCAGGCACACCTGTCACACTCAACTCCTGTTTGCAGTGCCTAACACTGTTGCTTTTTCTTCCATCCACCGCATCTGCTGCATCTGCCTTCCCTTCAACCTCCCCGCCCTTTCTCAGTTCATAGAGCACCCTCATTCTGTCATAAACTGGGGTTGCTCCTTTGTCTTGATGCTCTGAAGACCAACAGCTTGTTGAGGTGCATCCTGCTCTCTATCCCCTGAGTCCTGGTACCCTCTGTAGAGTCTAAAATCCGGAAAGCATCAGCAAGTGCTCAGCGACAGAATAAAGGACGAGTCACAGCTGGCATAACAGATGTGTGCCTTTGAGCAGAATTCACTTCTAAAGCATTTGCAGAGTAAGCTGTATGTCTCTTATGAAGTGCTATGTTGTGAACGTGAAACAGAAGCACCTGCTGCTCTAAGCGCTCGCTAAGATTTTAGGAAATCCTGCAAAGTATTGAATTGCAGGAGCTAGTCCCCCATCACTCCTGTGCACAAGGGAGCAGTGGAACTCACTTGGAGAATATTTCTATTTAGGATTTGATCTTTCTCTTGACCCATCTTCTCTCTCCCTTTGATGGTCCATTTTGGGGGGAATATTAATCATTATGATATTTCCTTTTATAGGCATTTAAAATTATTTCTGTGCTCCTCCTAGTCATGTCATTATTTAATTTTTTAATTAAAAGTTTAACTTAATTTCATCCAAAGGCTAAGCATAGGGGAAGAGTCTACAGTCATCCTTTTCATATGTAAAGTGCTGGAAACTCATCTCTTATTGAAAAAACCCCTGGTCCCATTGGTCTTTGCCATTCTAGGCATGCTGCTGGCTGGGTTTCTGCTCAGGAACATCCCGGTCATCTGTGACAACGTGCAGATTGAGCACCGGTGGTCTTCCTCCCTCAGAAGCATTGCGCTGTCTGTCATACTGGTGCGCGCTGGCCTTGGACTGGACTCAAAGGTAAGACTGTAATGATTATACAGAGACTGTGTTCCTGCAGTGTCCCAAATATCTAGGATCCTCAAGCTTCAGGAAAAGACATGGACACTGCATGACATTCTTGAGAAGAAAATAGGATACATCACCTGCAGGGCTGTTCTGTAGGGGGCACCTTGTGTTTCACAGGAGGTGAGACAATGTCTCCATAGTCTTTCTCAGAGAAAGGTAGGCTTAATGTCAATAAAAGAGCTGCTGTTCCCCTGACAGAAATACAAGCCTTTGGGGGATGGCTGCACAAAGCCATGTGTGAGTGGGGGAAGCTGACTGCACTATTTAGGACATGCAGAATATGCTCCTCCCAGTCTCATTTGGAGAGAGGCATGTGCCACTCTGATGTCAGGAGTGCATGTTCTGGGAGGATGGTGTTCCTCACCTCAGGAGCCTATTCCTGAGCTACACTGTAAGTGTCAGCAGGTTTGTGGCCTCAGAGCAGACTGCATGAGTTGTGGCTGGGTGCAGACCTGGGCCCGCTACTCACCAGTTTCATGTCTTTAGGAAAATGACTTAACTTGAGAGGAGAGCCTCTAAAACATGAGGAAAATCATGTTAGTTTTCTCATGGGTCATTGTGAAGACAACACAAGCTGTCTTCAAAACACTTAGAATGTAGAAATGTTTATTAAATGAAATGGAACACCTTGAAAATTCACTTTACCTAGGCATGGGTGGAAGGCTGCAGGGGCACCAAGGGCAGAAGCCTCTGTGAGGCTACAGAGGGTGTTGTGTCAGGGTTTCTGCTTATGCTCTAGGCCCTGCGGAAGCTGAAGGGCGTCTGTGTGCGCCTGTCCCTGGGTCCCTGCACTGTGGAGGCATGTGTAGCTGCTGTTCTTGCCCACTTCCTGATGGGTTTGCCGTGGCAATGGGGATTTATACTGGGGTAAGGATTCTTCTCTTTGTTGTCCTGATGTACACTGACATTTGGGACTTTACTCAATTCCACACCACAGTGTGTATGTGAGTGTTTTCTGAAGGATACCAAAAACCTCGACCTTGACAAAATCTAGCATGGCCTCAGTGTTCCTCTCACAGGTAGGGTCTGTTCTCTACAACTGTTTTGCTGGAGGCTGCAGTCATTGAGACTGCTGAGGAGGTCACAGGCCTCGAACTGCACCCAACCCCACACCTGTGCAAGGAGCTGGGTCACACCTCAGAGTCTACATAAAGGACCCCACACATTTGGCAGTATCCAGAACCTTCCTCTGACTCTGTGGTTCTTCTGTCTCTCTCTCTCCAGGCTTAGCTTTTCACCTGCAGATGTGAGAAGCGATGGGAAGCAGTGAAAGTATGAGGAAGTCCTTAGTAGGAGTTTGAGCAGACATGAGACAGGGTATAAGAACTTCCCACTCCCCATAGTAACAGTCTGGGAGCTCTGCTGCATGGACTCCACCCAGTTCTGCCACTCCCTGGGTGTGATCTTTGGCATAGCAGTAGGGCCACTGTGCCTCAGTGTCCTCACTTGTTACAGGAACACACACAGCCTCTATCTGACAGGGTTTGGATGAGAATAAAATTAGATCACTAGAAGTGTTCCAAATAGGGTCTCACACAGGAAGCCTTTCAGATGCTTTCAGTTTCAGCTGCTGCCATTACTAGTACCACTTCCAGTCTCTGTGGCCTTCTCCTTGGGACCTGCATTTTATTTTATATATGGAGCCCTAACTGAAGGTCCAGCGTCGTTGGGTTCCAATTCACTTGTCCACGACAAGTTTTCAAATGTCCTCACATGAACATTTTGTTTAAAATGCAGCTTCTTGCTCCTAACACCCTGTTAGTATTTCCCTGCCATTCATAAATATAAAGTATTTATTTTAGGCAATCTGGTTCCCAAACAGGTCACCCCTGGTAGACTTTAGAATTCAGTATTGTAGAGAACACTGGTTCCACATGTATCTGGACTGGCATTTCTCCTCCACCATTTAAAAGATTATCTTTGTCCAAAGTTTAAGGTTCCAAAATTGGAGGTTAAAAACTAGAGGCTCTTCTGGATTGTAACATGGTGACGGGATGGGATTCTGTCCTGCCAGCTAAAGTGCTGTGTGTCAGTTTCGTCCTAGGTGCTGTGTCCCCAGCTGTGGTGGTGCCTTCTATGCTGCTTCTGCAGGAGGGAGGCTACGGGGTGGAGAAGGGGGTCCCCACCTTACTCATGGCTGCGGGCAGCTTCGATGACATCCTGGCCATCACAGGCTTCAATACATGTCTGGGCATAGCCTTTTCCACAGGTAAACTAATCTACATTCCACATGCTGCTCTTGAGTGACATCACTTAAACTGTTGTAAGCATGGCTGTGTGCTTAAGGCAAGTTAAAAATATGGAAAACAGCAGAAAGAGTTGTATACCGAAGGAAGGACAGGAGCTACAGATCTGTACTCCCTTCCCTCCTCTCAATATAGGATGTGCGAGTCCTATATTGCCACAAGCATAGGAGCTCAAGGTTGTAGTTTGCAAGAGATCTGGGCAAGTTTAATCATAGAGACTTCAGACAAAGGATGAACAGGTCTGTCTTTGGGCATGCAGGACAGAGAGCAGCCTTGCTTGGAGCAGCAGTGCACTTCTAACACAGGAACATTTCTGCTCTTTCCTTGTTAACATTTGATGGACAAGAACAGCTGTGATGTTTATTGGGTGCCTTAGCAATGTGCAATTAGGTCCTGGGTGGGTGTGTTTTGTTCCAGGTAGGAACAGAAAAGGAGCTTCAGGAACACCCCACCACCACCCTCTGCTCATGCACAGACACTTAGCATTCTTCAATACGTTTGTTAAACGGGTATGGGCAAAAGGCTGAGAGGAGATCCCTGCCTTTATTGTCCTTTGGCACAGCACCAATTTAATTTTCTTAATCTTATCCAAAACCGGGTAATAAAATTTGCGCTTCCTGTTACTGATGGAGTGTAATTGTACCCTGAGTTGAATCTTGGATTCTTCCATGGAAGCACCCATCTGAGGAAGTCCCATACTGTCTCATTCCTCCCAGCCCTCTCATAAACTTCCCATGTGCTGATTCCATATTGTTTTTGCAGAGGAAGTAGTACTACACCCATCCCACTGCTCAGCTCCAGCAGCTGCCTTTCACCCAAGCCCTGGTAAATTCATCTTCCCAAAGCAGTTTTCATAATGTTACTTTCTAGTCCAGGAACTAGTGAAGATTTCAGGCTTACCTACTGAGTCCAGCCAACACCCATGTGTTCCTGTTAAATTCTACTGTACCCAGTTAACTTGTTTTCCCACTGTGTTCTGATGTATACACGTTTGCAAGTGGGTCTTGGTCTTAGCTGCACATTAGAATTAGCTAGAGAGTTGAAAAAAATGTACACATCCCTTTGTCAGTGAAATCAGAACCTTTGAGAACGGAGTCCTGAACAGCCTGGCTTGGCAGCCATGGCTCACAACACCAAGCTGGCAGGAGCATTGCAGGGTGGGCAGACTAAGGTGGAAAGAGCTTTCCTGCTCAGGCCAGCACGGGGAGGCCAGAAGGACCTCCTAGGAGGCTCTGTCCCTTCACCCTGCTGTCCTGCTGAGGGTAGTCCTCAGACCTTGTGGACCTAAGCCCTGCTGGCTTCACTCAATTATAATTTTTAAGGGTGAGGCTCAAGAGGTTTTAAAAACAGCCTCACCAAACAAGATTGAAACTAATTAGCTACTTCTGTTCATTAGCTCAGCATAAATCTCCTATCACAACTCAGTGCTTTGGAAGGCTACACCCTTTTCCTAACAGGGGGATGCTACCTAAGAAAAATTACTCCATGTTGTTATTTTAAATAAGGGGATAATTGCTGTAGCAAGGAAAAACCACAGTCTCAGGGGAGTACATTTTCCCTGGGGCCATCTTGAAGAATGGCTTTGGGGGGGGGGTGGAATTTCCTGTACAGTGTGCTCAGAATTTTTTTTCCATAATTTTATTGAGAAACAAATAGCAATGAGACAGTTTCAAATCAAATTAGTAGTACAGTTTCAATAATTAATACAATGCATATCGTTTTCTTAGTGGTTTCAGAATTTTTTTATATTAAAGTTTCTCTAAACTTAAGTGGTGAAAAGGAAAATATAGGCCTCATTTATGACTATAATATTTCAAAAGAATTAAGCAACAAACAGGCAAAGGTAATTTTTATTTTAGATTTACTATTATAATAGACCTTTGAAGAGGATTAGGAAGACTGTGAATTTTCATTGCCAAATTCTTAAATTGCTTTACTCTGTACATATCAGAGCTATTAAGGTTAATGTTTATTTACTACTTTGTATAAAAACAAGGTCTTAAATGGTAATTTGAAAACTTAGCTAGATGTGTCTACTTGCCTAACCTAGTATATAACATGGTAGAATAGGGCCAGGAGATAGCACCTGCCTGGCAAGCACAAGGTTGTAAGTTTGATCTCTGGTACCTCAAAGTCAGTGGTCTGTGTTGACCTTATGTGCAAATACAGTTCTACAATTCAGCTCTTGTCCAATTCGCTTTGCAACCAGAATTGTAGAAAGAAATTAAGTTTGTAAACCAAGTTACCACTGTACTCTCCTTATAAGAAATGTCCATTTTGTTAGATGTCTTAAGTCTTTTTTTTTTTTTTTTGAGACTGGGTCTCACTTTGTAGTTCAGGTTGGCCTGGAACTTATTATGTAGTGCAGGCTGGCCTCACATTTGAAGTGATCCTCCTGCCTCAGCCTCCCAAGAGCTGGAGTTACAGGTGTGTGCCACCATGCCTGGCTAAGTCACCTCTAGTTAAAGCTGTGGAAATGAGAAAGTGCCTATGATGCACAGCATTCCTGCCACATACTTAGGTTCTTTATGTTGATGACTACAGACCAATGCTTGCAAGTTGATGGGTATCTGATCCTCTCTGAAATTTTGTTGTATTATATTTTTCAGGTTCCACCATGTTTAATGTCTTCAGAGGTGTTCTGGAGGTGGTGATTGGTGTGGCAGCTGGAGTTCTTCTTGGACTTTTTATTCGGTACTTTCCAAGCCGTGATCAGGTGAAAGAAACTGTCAGTGGGAAGGGCCAGCAACTAAGTACCTGCTTAGGCAAGCACAGGGACTGAGGGTGGATTCCCCGGTTTCCAGTGCTATACCAGCCCCACCTTTGGGTGTGCTGAGCCAGCAGTCGAGTCCAGGCATGGTGGTGCATGCCTGGAAGACTGAAAACAAGAGGATCATATGAGTCTGAGCTGCATAGTGAGACCTGTACCAAATATATTAAAAAACAAAAAAGGTGTGCTGGCCCTGCTCCTGAGGCATGCTGAGACAGTGATTGAGCCTGGGTGTGGTGGCACTTACCTGTAATCCTAGAGTTGGGGAGGCTGAAAACAGGAGAATCATTGAGTCCAATCTGTGTAGTGAAACTCTGTAGACCCTGTACTAAATACATTTTTTAAAAAAAGAAAGAAAGAAAAGAAAAGAAA